GGTGTAATGCTCCCTGCAGTACTGCTGAGCCTGAGTCCAGGTCAGCGGCTGGTTGACGTAGAAGTACCAGCGTGGTGGGAACTGGGAGCAGGAACTGAGGCAAAGTCCTGAATATTTACAAAATAGGATTTACATGAAGGCTGTCGTTCTATAAGGATGTATTCATGCTGAACATAGTGGGACAAACACTGCAAAAACACAAAATCTAACCAAATATTTTTGGTTTCTAATGCAAATAACTTGGTACACTTTAAATAAGACAGTCTAGTAACTTTTCAGCAAGATATCAGAGCTTGTTCAAGTAGATAATTCCTTAAATTTTTCACTTTTTGTGATTTTTTATTAAATAAGTTCAATATTACGGGAGAAACGGACAACAATAGCAGGAGAATGTTCCCACAGCACACAGTAGCAACAACACTAACAAAAGTTGAATATTTGAGGTATTGATCGATTGTCTCCATTGTTGTTTCTCTTTATCTTTTTTCACTACTTTTCTCTAACCGGCCTTTTAAACCGTAACTGAAGAATTACATGGTGCATGTTTTCAACTGTTTAGATCAGGATGTCAAACTCATTTTCGTTTTGGGCCAAATCAAGATCATGAATCCTCTTAAAGGGCTGGTATGTATTGATAAAACCTGTTTACAAACTGTTAAAATATAAATGAATTCTTAAAATTAAATAATATTACTAAACATCTTTTCAGTCCCTCCAGGACTTTGTGATTCTTTTTGTGATTTTTGCAATAAAAATCAAAGTGTTTGTGGCGCTAATTTGCAAATATTTGCGATATTTACACTTATTTATGACGGTAAATGTGACTTTTTATTACTCGCTGTATAGATCATGGACTATAATCTGACATCAGTTAAGGCTGATGCAGCTGTTTAGCACAATTAACACTACGCTCCAAAAAGGACCCAATATTGGGTCATGCAGCACTTCTGCTAACAAGGTCAATCTAAGCACATGCTATACAATAAGCAACTCCCAGCTCAAACACTAAGCATTAAAAAAAGTAGTACAGAAAAAAAGAAAGAAAGAAAGAAAATTAGGCGTTAATTAGATGTTAACGACCCACACCTGGTAAACACGTAGCAACCCCAGCGCAACATGGTCCTGCCCACACAAACTACTTAACAGATTAAAACCCAGACTCTGTTTCCAACAATACCAGAATCACCATGCTATGTGCAAAACTCACTGAACCAGTAGCCAAAGAGAGAGGAAAAAACCCAGCTAATTTCACGAAGCTAAAAACATAAATTTAGTCCTACCTTTTTTGTGTCACGTTCATACGGAGCCCTCCAGGGCACATGGGGAATTTTTTTTCTTTTGCGTTCCCTCGCAAAACGTTTTGCGTTCCCTCGCAATAATCTACTGATCAGTTCATGCGGCATAATTGAATACTGTAAGCCTTTTATACGGTGGCCGCCGTACTTTCTGCTTTAATACAAGCTTATAAGGTTTTTCCATGGACTATTGAGTTAATATCGCGGGTCATAAGTCATCTGATTGTGTCTCTATTGTGTTCGTGTCTGAATGGTTTAAAGGGCTGCTTTCAGTGCCGTTCCACCTGAGCCTGAACAGACATAAACATGCAGTAAATAAATCGATTTTCAATCAGTTTTTTGCACCAAAGCGTTAATAATAACAAACACGTATTATTATAAAACACAGCAAACTAATGGTGGTAGATGGCCGCACTGGGTTAACTCGGGGAATCGCATCTGTCCGTGTATCAATCAACAACCAAACTTTAAACCTTGGAAGCAAATCTCTGTTTAGTGTTTGAAGCCTTTCAGGTTGGGGTTCTTACCAAAGAGCAGGAGAACTGCAGTCATTTGTTGGTTCATTGTTGTTTTTTCTGCAGAAAGTGGAAACAAGAATTTCAAAGCTTCCGTAACTCAGAGAAGAAAAAAGTAGCAAAACATTAAAAGATCAAAAACATGAAGGTTTTATAAAATTCACAACTCGATGGAAAAATGTCCATAAAATCAAGCTAAGCCTAAATTATTTCTCCAAAATTAGTGTCTGGTTTATGTATCAAAACTTATTGTAACCATCTAAAATACGGCTTAGCTGATAGTCTGCAACATATCATGAATTATACTTACTAGTCGGAGTGCAGCTGCTTGGTGTTGTAGACCTGAGGTCTCGGGTTTTGTGGATAAAAAGGAAGATGAGGCTGAAGTAATCTACACTAGGCAATGAAATTTACATATGCAAAGTTTTACTTAGTAAGTTATAGACAACAAGTGTTCCCCTTTCCCGCTTCAACTTGGACAGGTCATTGCACAAACCTTCAATAATTACAGATAGAAAATCTGAACCTCCAGAGACACATAAAGTCAGTTAGAAAGTCAGACTTCTATCACCTGAAGAACATTTCCAGGATTAAATGTTGCAGTAAGATCTAGAGAAACTAATCCATGTATTTAACTTTAGTTACATTTATTAGTGTCTTCACAAGTTTGCACTACAAACTTCCAGAAAACTGCAGAAGAGTTGAAGCACTGAATTATTTAGAGTTAACTTTGACTTGTAGTAAGTGAAACGTTTGTCGCCATCTTTGATATGAATTGATGATGTCGATGATGGCATCTGACCAGATGTAATGTTTATTGTTTGTTCAATAATCGGTGACTATGTGATGTTTTTATCCTGTAAAGCTTTGAACTAAACCAGAACCAAACGAGTAGAAGCAGTATTCAGCTTCTATGCACCACAAATTTGGAACAAACTTCCAGAAAACTGTAAAACAGCTGAATCACTGAGTGCCTTTAAATCTCGACTTAAAACCCACCTGTTCAGAGTTAACAAATACATATAAATATACACAGGACTAATAGAATGGAAGATCAGTGCACAGGAAAACCATATCTATTTGTGTTTTTATAATCATTTGTTTATGCAAAATTACCTTACAGGAAAATTTTGCTATAGTTTGTCACTGGAAAACAACCCATTTCTAGTCGACACCAGTGATATTAGTGCTGTAGATGCTGAAACATTTGGTTTATGTCTGGATTTTATTGACCAAAGTTCAGTCAGACTTTTACTTCTCAGTTCTGGAAAACATGTTCCAGAAAAAAACTACAGTAGTTTTGTATCAAATGCAAAAACAGCGGAAACAGCAGCGACTCTGACCTTCAGGGAGGAATGTACAAATGATGCTTACGATATTTTCATATGCAAAGTTTGACTTTGGTGAAAATCTTTCCCTTATTTTTACAACTTTGACATATCTTAGAATGAAAGAAATCTCTCCTGAAAGTGTGGATTAATTATGCTGAATACATAAAAATTCAGCATAATTAAAGGTTACCTACTGTTCTTCCTTGAACAGATTAGGTCTGATTACATGTTTATGAACTATAAACATGTAATGAACATCCCATTGTTCATTACATGTTTGTGCACAAAATCATTCTTATATAATGAGATATTAGTCTGGTCAGCTGACCAGCTGCTCTAGAACTCAGTTTAGGTTGCTAGGTAACGGGGTGGGCTTTGCTGTGGTTGCTAGGTAACGGCACAAAACCACCTTATGGAAAGGTGTTTTTGTTTAAATATATGAACAAACAGTTGTTTTTGTTCATATAATTTGATAACATGATAAAATTGTTTTGTTTTGGACTCAGACATTCAACCATGAATTTGCAGAAAACAACATTAAACAGCTGTATTGTAGTGAAATTCAAATTCAAAAATACTTTATTTTTCCCAAAGGGAAACTAAATGTTGCTGTAACTCATATTAATATCACGATGTTTGAAAACACATGAATCTTTAAAACTATCAGCATCGGAATCGGTGATACCGCCCCAGTATTTACTTTGTATCGGATCAACATCGAAATATGCAGCATCACTGACATCATCTTGTTTGTTGAATTAAGTTTGATTCATAATGATCCAGTGAATCTTTTTAAAAACTCAAAACATCAAACCTGGGCTGAAATATTCAGACTGAATACATTTTATGATTTATTACATCTGGTGAAAAATATTGCTCTACATATTTAATCTTTTTCTGTCTGTATTTGAGCACAAAACAAATGCGAAACCAATGTTTTTGTTCATATATTCGTTAACACGATAAAATTGTTTTGTTTTGGACTCAGATATTCAACTATGACTTTGCAGAAAACAACATTAACCTTTGATTTTGATCATCCGACAGAACAGGTAGGTTAAGTTGTTCAAGGAATTGTTTAATTTGCTGCCCATCTTTTAAGCTTGGTTGTGTGTATAATTGTATATAGTAAGTTTGGAAAACTTGTTGGATTTCATTTTGTTTATACACACACCTCTCAGAATTTGGGTCCCTTATTCTGTATATCGTGTTATCTGCTTGTTGTTTTTGTAATTTTCTCCCCAAGAGTTTAGCAAATTTGGCACCTGATTCATAATATCTTTGTTCAGTATAGATAATCTTTTTCCATATTTCTTGTAGATACATTGCATTAAGTTTATTTCTTAATATTTTAAGCTTTATACTATGTTCTGGTTTTAATTCTCTTATGTTTTGTCTCAACCTCTTTTATTTCATTGTTTAATTCTGATAGTTTTAATTGGTTTGCTCTCTTTTTTGGACACAAAAAGATATAATTTTACCCCTCATAACTGCTGTTAGTGCATCCCAAACTATTTCTGGACTAACCTCTCCGTTATTGTTTTCTTTTAAAAACGTGTTTATGTCAGATTTGATTAGTTCTGTAAATTGGAGGTCATTCAGTACACTCGTATTTAATCTCCATTGTGTATTTTTAGGGTCCTCATCTAATTTTAAAGTTAATAATAAGGGGGCATGATCAGAGAGGTTAATGTTGCCTATCTCACAGTTACAGATCTTATGGCAATCTCTTTTAAAAGTAAAGAAAATCTTTTCTAGAGTATACCGTATGTGCATGAGAGAAATGAATTTGTTGGGGAATTTGTTGTGAAGAGTCCAACCATGGATTAAGTCATATATTCCAATCTCCTCCACAAATAAGTATACCCGTTGATTGTCCCATTAATCAAATAGTTTTTTATAAAATGAAAAGTCACTGCCAGGTGGAACGTATACATTACATAGTGATATACTGGTTCCATCTATTCTCCCTGTTATTAATGAATATTGTCGTTGGTTTCAGAAATAAGTTGAAATGGAACTCTCTGTGATATTAATATGGCTACACCCCGTCTAAGACCAGATTTATGCGATGAGTAATATATTTTGGTGAAGCCCATTCTTTTTAATTTTTCATGTTCCCCAGATGCAAGATGTGTCTCTTGCAACATAGCTATCTGCACATTTTCTTTCTTCATTTTAGATAGTATCTTATTCCTCTTCATGGGGTTAAGAACCCCATTTACATTAACTGATGCTAATTTTAAGGTTTACCTGTCCGTCCATTGGTGGTTAANGGAGNCAGCGCTCTGTGAACTCTTTCAATTTTGAGCTCAGCATCTTGTGGGAGATCCAAACAGTCTCGAAGCAGATTTTTTACGAAGCCCTCGATGTTGTTACCTTCAGCCTTTTCGGGAATACCTCAAGTCCTTATGTTATCTCGGCGTGCGCGGCCCTCCTGATCAATGAGCTCAGCTTCCATGTCGTCCTGGCGCTGAAGAAGTCGTTTAATTAGGGATGACGTCGCCTGCATGGCTAATCTTACCTCTTTGCATGTTTCCTCAGGTTCTCTAATCCACCGGCAACCACGTTCAGCAGCATACACAAACATTAATGATCCTCTACTGTCATCTGAATCTCATTTAGTTTAGGCTGCATTCACACCAGCCAGGTTTTGGCCACTTTAGTTAGTTAGTCTGGTTTGTTTTAGAGAGATGTGAATGTGAATAAAACTCTGATTTGGAACAAAAAAAGAACTCTGGTCCGTCTAAAAATCTAGTCCTCGGTTCGGTTTAAGTGAACTCAGTCACGATATGAATGCATATGATGGGCTGGTGGTCACTCCAAATGCAGAAAGCTAATTAAAACGCAAAGTGTTCTGGGTAAATACAACCAAAACAAATGTGCTGACCTCGCGCTAGCGGTTGAAATTAAACGGTTGGTCTTTTTTCCCCCCAAAGACAAAAGAGAAATCCAACAACTGCTAAGAGCTAAAGCAGCTCCATTTTCATTTACATTCAAGTACACCTCTGCAGCAAACAAAAAGGGGCGGAGACATTTTGTGGAGAAGGAAGTTGTGTTCAGTGTCTTCTTCAGAGGTTTTCTTGTCGTTTCCTTCAGTGGTTCTTAGTTCAACGCCCCCCACAGGCGAGGGGGGGAACAGGTTTTTCGTTTGACACTGGAAAAGCGAACCGCAGCAGCTGAAAATCTAACAAATGTTAAAAAATCTTTAGTCTCCAGTTTGACCTTTGTTCAAATTGTAGATTAACTCTAGGTCGCCACATGGTGTCTGTGAAGAGCTTCCTGGATTTGGATGTAGAGATTTGTTCTGTACCCAAGCAGACTGTGTCCTTGGGTAAAACTCTCCACCCTCTTTACCTGCTGGTGGTGGTCAGAGGGTCCGGTGATGCCTTGATGCCCCACGGCAGCTTTGGTTCCTGGTAATTTACCACCATCAGCGTGTGAATGTGTGTAAATGGATGAGTGTAAAGCGCTTTGGACTTGATAAACAACTTTACAAATGGAGGCTCTTGGTATTTGCAGGTTAATTTTTATTATCTCAAAGAGACAAAGCTTTCAATTAAATAATTTTTTTCATCTTGAATCCATATGAAAAGAAATTTAAAAAATAGAACTGAATATGGAAAACAAAAATTCCCAAAGTCTGGATAGTTCAGCTGCAAATGTAAATCTGAATTTCATTTATTCATTTCTTGAATCTTAAAACAAAAATTATTAATTTGTCAAAAACAAAGTTTTGTAAATGTGATACACTATAAACTGGGATAATTTAATCATCACTTGTTGATAGTTCAGAAAATCTGGTGAGGGCTGCCCCCCCTCTAAAAATGTGGAGTAACAAGTTAATTTAGATCTGATTTCGTAATTTCATACATAGACATGCTCAAACATTCAAAAATAAGAGAAAAGAGTGATTTGTTAGGATCGCAATTAGCTACATTTTAGCAATCAATTAAACTGTATGGTCAGTTATATAGTTATTCAAAGCCCATTAGAGCTTAAAGTATATTTGTTCATTATAACATGTCCATGTAAAATTATTTAACATAATTAATCCTCTC